CACAGCCACACACACACACCCCAACACGAAAGCCCAAGTAGTAGTAGTATGCAGATTGGAAAAGGGAGGAAGAGAGATATATAGGTGGAGCCCGCCGCCGCCGCCACCTCCGGCTCCTAGCCGCCACTGGCCCATCGTCCCACGGCTGCCGCTCGCCGAAGGTTGATGAAGACAGAGAGAGGGGAGGATGAAGAGAGGATGATTTATGTGGGCCCCACATGTCAGTGGGTCCCACACGTATTTTGGTGAATGACAAAAAGGTCCCACACATATTTTTTATTTCTAATGTCACCTAAGTGCCACGTCAGCGCCACGTGGAAAGGAGACCGGATCAATACTGCCACGTAGGTGCCACGTCAGCGAAACCGCCCTCCAAAACCGCCGATGGAGTCAAATTGCACCGGTTTTGAGACTTGGGGGGTCGAGATATCCGGTTTTATGGTTTAGGGTCACGGATTAGATTTCGATCACTTATGAGGGTCACAAAGTGAACTTATTCCCCTCCCTCAATCTGCTCGGCCTGCCTTTGTTTGACCTAGCCCACAACTGGAACTGCAGGCCTAACTCGCACAGACTATCGTCTTCAACCTTCGGAAAACAGTCTCGTGCAGTCTCGTGCGTGTACGATACCGAAGCTGATCCTTCCAAAAAAGGATGAATGTTAAATGGAGATTAAACCAGGTGAATTAAAACCAAATTTGTCGACGTTTTATGTCGCGATTCCGGTATTTGCATAGTGTGGGGATCGTTGGTACTAGGGTATACGCGAGACTGAGGTAAAAGAGACAAAGACGAGGATTTTTATACAGGTTCGGGCCCCTGAATTGTCAGGTAATAACCCTACATCCTGTTGGCCGAAGCCGGTATTACTCTTATTCACCATAATCACACCAGTACAATATTTGGGGTAGCCTATCTAACTGTTGTCGACATGGCGGTATGAAGGTCTGACTCGTAGTCGACAACAGGGTAGAATTTTTTTGGGTGTCATATCGGATGTTTAACCGGATGTCGGAAGAGGTTTTCAAACACGAATGAAAAAACTAATTTCATAACTCGCTTGGAAACCACGAGATGAATCTTTTGAGCCTAATTAAGCCATCATTAGCACATGTGGATTACTGTAGCACTTATAGCTAAACATGCACTAATTAGGCTCAAAAGATTCGTCTCGCGATTTTCATGTAAACTGTGTAATTAGTTTTTATTTTTATCTATATTTAATGCTCCATACATATGTCAAAGATTCGATGTGATGTTTTGGGGAAAAAATTTAGGGAACTAAAAACATGCATGCACATATTTGCCGCTACTGTAGCTCGCTGGAGTAGTAGTAGCAGGAGGAGTGAGAGGAGGGTTTCAATAAAAGTCGCTACTGAGCGGTTTACCGAAATCCTATCGAAAACCGATAAAAACCGATGACTTTCAATAAACACAGTAAAAGATCGGCTAATATCGTCCTATTTTCTCAAATCGAGACCTAGAGGTGTGTTTAGTTTACGTCAAAATTAAAAATTTGATTAAAATTAGAATGATGTGATAAAAAAGTTATAAATTTGTGCGTAGAAAGTTTTTGATGTGATGAAAAAGTTAAAAGTTTGAAGAAAAAGTTGGAATTAAAACAGTACCTAGCGGTTTCAAAAAGACCACTCAGTTTTCGAAACTAGGTCGGTTATGTGAAGTACTTGCTCTCTCCGTCCCATAAAAAACCAATCTAGTACCGGATGTGACACGTTCTAGTACTAATTAATATATATATATATATATATATATATATATATATATATATATATATATATATATATATATATATATATATATATATATATATATATATATATATATATATATACACAAAAATTTATCCTACTAGAATATATCATATCCAGTTATAGATTATTTTTTATGGGATAGATGAGTACTGGAGGAGGTGACAGCTGACAAGAAAGCAGCAAAACAGGCGTCGGCATGGGCTCTCTCTCCTTTCTGTCATGCCTCTGTCTGCGTTGCGTCACCGGTGGCGTCAAGCACGTACGCATATATATGCAGCTGCCTCTGCCCCACTGCCTAGCTGCAGCCGGCCGGCGTGGCCGGCGAAGAAGTGGCCGTTTAATCGCAGGTCTCCCCTGCCGGCCATGGCGCTAGCTATTAGTACTACCAGTACTGTAGCTCCTCCCATTCTAAAATAAATCTATTTACGACTTGTTTAATTTATCTTAAATAAGAATAATTTTAGTTTATCCTTATGCCGAAGGTTATGAAAGTTAAAAAAATAAATGTGTTGGGAGTGAATAAAGTAAACAATAATTGCATTGAAATTTAATAAAAAGTATGATAATATATACTCCCTCCGTTTTAATATGTCTGACACCGTTGACTTTTTAGTACGTGTTTGACCATTCGTCTTATTCAAAAAATTTAAATAATTATTTATTCTTTTCATATCACATGTGCTAAAAGGTTAACGGTGTCAAACATTTTAAGACGGAGGGAGTATTAATATATGTAGGAGATAGATGGAAAAAAATACTTTAACGTAGGGAGTAGCTTCCATGTCCATGTCCATGCGTGCATCCACCTCCGAGGCAGAGCCAACTTCAGTTGCTTCTGACACCAACCTGCCACCTGTCGCTTGCCTCAACCACGTTGTACGTTGGATTATAGCTGTTGTGTGTTGGCCTATGCAATTTTCAATCACCTTGCGGGGATAGCTCAGTTGGGAGAGCGTCAGACTGAAGATCTGAAGGTCGCGTGTTCGATCCACGCTCACCGCAACTTTTTGTTTTGTTTGATGTGCACTCTGAATTTCTCCTGACGTGCACTCTGAATTTCATTTTGTTTTGTTTTGTTTCTTCTCCTGACGTGCACTCTGAATTTCATTTCCTCATACTTGATGTGCACTCTGAATTTCATTGTTTTGTTTTGTTTCATCTCCTGATGTGCACTCTGAATTTTATTTTATTTTGTTTTTGTTTTGTTTTGTTTCTTCTCCTGACGTGCACTCTGAATTTCATTTCCTCATACTTGATGTGCACTCTGAATTTCATTGTTTTGTTTTGTTTCATCTCCTGATGTGCACTCTGAATTTTATTTTATTTTGTTTTTGTTTTGTTTTGTTTCTTCTCCTGATGTGCACTCTGAATTTCATTTCCTCTTGCTTGACGTGCACTGAATTAAGCACCGTTTTTCTTGCATTGGTCGATGTTTTCCCATCTCTGTACTGAATTAAGCACAAGATCAAGCGTAACCAGGCATTGTTGTGCAGCAGCATCTCCCTTTTCTTCTTTTTTCATCCCTCTCGATGAGTGCACCATACAGAACACAGGCATTGTTGTTGCTGGCCGTGTTCTGTTCTGAAAATCTCTGAAACGAGGCTCTCTGCAAGAAGATGCAGGCAGAGGTAGGCAGAAGATGCAGTAAATGTTTTTGGAGCACAACAATGGCTGCTCTGCTCCTACCTGTCCCATCCTCAATCTCCACGCCCATGGCTCCCATGGGCGCCATGCTCGATGTTTTGCTGCTCCTCTCACCTGAAAAACTCTCGTCTTCTTCGATGCACACAAGCCACCACCACCCTGCCCTTTGCCTCCTCTGCAATAAGCTGCTTGCCTGTGATGGCAGATCAGGCATTCATGCGTTGCCCAAGGGCCTCTGATGCCCACCTGTGGCTTAATCCAATCTTATCAGCACAAGATCATGGCACATTGGCACCAGATTGTCAGATTGATGAACATCACAATGCAAATGTTTCAGTTAGTATTTAGCACAGTGCCTGACGGTTTCATGTTGATCAGAGGAAACAAGATGGGAGTTGAGTTCAGGGTAATAGCAGCAGAAGCAGCAGCAGCAGCGATGCAAAGAACAGCATTAGCAAACTGACAGTGATGCAGATGCTTTGCTTTGCTTGTTCGATGTGACTGTTCCTCTCTCTTTTTTCTTACTGTACCTAGCTCTAGCTTTAACTTTATTTATCTTCTCTCTTCTTTTATTATTCTTCTCTTCACTTGGGCTGCTGGAACAGCATTTCTTCCCTCTGTCCCTTTTGCTTTTTTCTGCTTTAATCCTCCAGTCCTGAACTGATGCTGTATGTTGCTACTTGGAAGTTAGAACGGCCATGCAAGATTCTGAGAAATTTTGTTAAAGTGAGAATTTTGTTAATGTGAAAATTTGAATCACACTGTAGACTGTAGAGCATTGCCGCCATTGCACTCAGTAATTGACCATAAGTGCTCACATGCAGTAGTGGCAATACTTTATCATGCTGGTGATCTTTCAAAAAATAAAGTAAAAAAGGCACTACTACTACTCAAGCTGGTTGTAGTGAAGAATTGGGATACAGTATCTGGTTGACTGAATATATTAGTACTCACTAGTTTTTACTCTTCACATGGATATAGTTTTTCTTCTAGAGCAGAGCACACAGCCAGAGCTCTAGAACAAGAAGTCAAAATTCTGAATCTGAACTTGATCAATTGATATAACTGCATTTTACCATGTCCAACATCAAGTAGGAACTTAATTCTGAATCTGGATTCTCCTGATGAACTTTGAAACCTGTCATATTTTTCCATCCAACAAAAAACTGCGTGCAATGAAGTGCATGAACCATGTGGCTCCACACAGCTAGAGAACAAAAGGATTGCAATACTAGAGATGTGTGTTATTTCTACATGACCTGGGAAAGATCAAGACTAACAAAGGCTTAATGACAACAGACACACCATTCTCCAAGAAACCAAACATACAGTAGTGGATTCCTTTTCTGAACAATGAACTGCTGCAGCTTGCAATAGCATGCATGAGATGAGATGATGGAGAATCATTTCTGCTGCTGCCATGGTGCACCCAGTGCATTTAACAAAATGAGGCACTGCAACTGACTAGTAGTAAGAGGCAAGGGGAAACAAATAGGAACAAAGTTAAATAAAATAGTGTGCAACTGCAACATCAGGGGTTTGTTATGTAGGAACATTGCACATTTGCACAGGGCAAAGCCATCATTGAGGGAGCCAATCTTTTTGTCATTGCAATGAGTAGTACTAATGCATGCCTTACTTGACTGTTCAGGCACCAAAATAAAAAGGTTATACACATGATTGTAACTGTGCAAGCTTCTCACATGTCTCATCATTCCTCCCTCAGCCTAGGAACAGTTTGTCCTAAAGCTAAGTATAATGTTTTACAATAATTCCACAACTTGCATGGGATACACTAGCTGGTTTTACAAAGCTTCCAAAGGGAAGGGGAAAATAATATATTGGTGTTTATTGATACTCTAAGCAGATAAAAAGAAAAAGAAAAAAAAAAGGAAGCATTAGCTTGCTCAGAGAAACTAAGAAGCTAAAGTTGGAGTGAGTGTATAGTTAGTGGCATGGGCTGATACATCTCCATTTGACATAATGGTTGCCTGCAAAATTGCCCAATATCCTGAAATGGCACCATAAAAACAGTGTCAATCAACTTAGGTTTTGCAAGAGGTTTTCATTTAATTATATCTGCAAAATTGAGAATTGTACCTTTAAGTTAGTATTTGCACATCTTGCTTGAGTATCTGCATGAGGAATGCCAAATAAAGAAGGCATTAGACTCCAAATCAGTTCATCACTATCGGCAGTCATATCTTACAAGCTAAGGATGTCTCCAGTCAAGAAATAAAGAACTAGAAAACAAAATACTTAGTCAAACTCACATCTGATCACCTAATGAGCTGACTCTTGAACCCTGCATGTTTGTATTTTTGGCCAGTACCCTAATCTGCATGATGAAAAAAGAAGAGTAAATAAAGGTAGAATAGAACCATACCGGTTATGAACACAAGTACAAAATTATCCTTCAGAATTGTCACTAATTAGAGCCAACATACCTTACAACATGTTGGTAACTCAAAATCAGTAAAAGTTTATTTCTCTGTAGCTCTGAGAATGGGGTAGTAGCTCTTCCACCTCAATTCTAGAGCTGAAATATCCCATGTTTTTCCTCCTATGGTGTACAATCTCAACTTCTGCCATGAAAATGCTGTACACTGGCCTGTGATCGGAGAAGCGAGACTCCCCACGAACATAGCACAGCTGGTTGAGGCCATTACCATACCAGAGAATGCGATCACACCTTTTGGTACGTAAACAAGAGAAGAAAAGGATGAGATCACTGAGAAATATCGTTACAGTAAAATAAAGAAGTCTTATCTAGTTATTGTAATAACTGATGAAACATACCATGCAGGCGTTCTTCTTTTTTCTTTGGGATGCATGCCCTCTCCGGCATAACGATCTGAATTGAACGAATACTTGTACGTGGGAGGAAAATAAATCCTTCCTTCTTTCCAGCCCTGAAAAACTCTCCCGTATCTTTGTTGTATTCGAAGCTGTTCCAGAAGAGGTCAATTCAAAAGTTTTAGTCGCCTTTCCTCCACAGTAATATGTAAAAATATCACATCTTCCATTTTTTTCTTGTGCTTTGCTAAGTTACATAACGAAAATAAACAGAACAAACAATAGAATAGAACTGAGAGTCTTGGTAGTTCACTGCAAATTACCTGATCTTTTTCTAATAATTGTTTCCAGTTATGCATTTCGACAAGAGCTCTTGCTGAACAATAGGAGAGGGCAATACGATAGTTCAAATCCCCAAGCCATATTATACGGCTGCAAAACAATTAGAAGATAACCAATTATTAGACAAGTTTGCTGCAGCTCCCACATTAGCATTCTAAGAAAACAAAAACATGTCTCTTACTCATGCTCAAGAATCGTTTCAGGTGATTTGACATCATTAGCACCACGAACCCGTGGAAACCTTGTCTTTCTTAATATTTCCATAACATCAGAATTCCTGCGCAATTCATCCCCTTCCTTTTCCCCTGAGGTCAAATGGCAACAAATGAAGCAGAAGCTTGTCTGGTGCAAAGACATGCTTATTGATATAGAACCCTGAAATACAAAAGTAAGGACTTGCACTTTAGAAATTTGTGTCATATTAACAGTCAGGATATAGAACCCTGTATAAGATGAAGATATTTATATGCTTCTTAATTTAACATTACCTTATTTCCAAGATAACCCATCAATCCTCTACCCACACAAGAAACTTTCAAGTTTCTCACATCATCTCTTATTTCATTGCGCACCCAGACAGTGAGAAATATGCCAACCATTTGTTTGCTGGCAACCAAACAATACCTGAAGAGGCATAGACATTTTCAAATAGTTAGTTTTGCATGACCTTAAGATTTTTTAAAAAAAAAAAGATGCGGTACATTACAACCAACATTTAAAAATTCTGGTTTTAAGTAACAATTGCCAATGTTCATGACAGGAGTTGTGTTACCTTGATCCATTGGGTTGCTCGTCGTTAGCTTCAGTAGGTGCCGTTGTATTGCAGCTATAAGGAAGTGGAGAACATTGTGCAGCGTTAGAGAGTTCCTCATCGATGTTCTCCTCATCTGGTGACCCAAGCCACCGCAAATTACCATCAAAGTCACTTGGTCTACCTCCTAAGCTGACTGGGTCACAAACGCTAAATCTTCTGTCCAACTTTGGTTGTGGGAACATGTAGTCTGCATCCATTCTTAAACTGCGGCTGAGATTATGGAATGATCGACGGTGAAAGAAAGAGTAGTTCTCCTGCCTTCTTGCAGATGCCTCAAAATCAGCTTCTAGTTCTACGACTGGATTAAGGACTGGTGACGGCGTATGATAGACACCAGAACCACTGGCCCCAGGATTCTTGTTCAGGGTCCTCCTAATAAGAGATACCCACTTCTTTGCTGGAATATTATCTTCAGTGCCAAGAACATTTCCAGCATTCAAAGGGACAATCTCCTGAAATCTGCCATAGACCAATGATAGTAAATTAACCGAAACAGCTCACAATCACCACTATAAACTTCTTAGGAAGGTCACCTGACACATACCCTAACACGTAGATATCAGCAGGAGGAGAAGAGTGAAGCCACTCATCTAAATTTAGCCCCCTTGGTGGGGACTTGCCTCCGACATTCCATGTTGCGGCAAAGATTCTACATGCAAAAGGAAAAGAATGATCCATCAGATTCCTTCAATATAATGTAGCAAACTCAAACCGTAGTAACCATAACAGAAATTTGGACAATGATTATCAGACAAAGATGCAAGATTCCATCCAATCTCACTGGTCTCTACACAACAGACACAATGCCAGCAGGTGCCAACAGGCAAAACACGCATGGTGAATCAATGATAGTAGTACCTGTAATCTTGAACCTCTGTCAGGCGTGCTAGATCGAAATCATTCCTCCCTCGGCGGACGCGATCAGCGCTCCGCTTCGACGACGACCGGTCTAAGGGCCCATAAGCAAACAACAAACAGGAATAATCAGATAACTTGGCAGTGCTGCAGAAAGATTCAAAGGAGCTAGCTTGACAAAGATTATCCCAGCAGGTAAAGACTAAAGAGAGTGTTGTGGTGGGAAGAGAAAGCTGCATCTGTTTGAGTGTGATGAGAAGAGAGAGGAAGGAGAGGCGTGGTCCAAATGCTTCTTTTCACTGTACCTGTTCTGCTTTTCTTGGCTGAACTTGTGCTTGCAGAGCTCGCTGAGAAGCTGGCCCTCCCCCCTGCTCCACCACCACCATCCCTACCTGGATCACACGGCAACCTCAGCTCAGCTCAGCAAAGAACCAAACAAAAGCAGCAAACGCAACAAAGAAAAAGCTGCCTCCCTCTGATCTTTTCGATGAACTCATTTTCACATTAAACGTGCAAACAAATGCAGGTAAACAAAATTTGCTGCAGTTTGTGTGTGTGGCAAAAAGATTCTTGATTTGGTTGGCTGTGACCTTTTGAGGACTTGTGCATGAACAAATCAAAACTGGAAACTGATACGTAAGCTTAGCGGATATCAACGAAGGATAAAAAGGCGTCTGATTGTGACAGGTCAATTAGTTTGCTCATCTAACTTTGAGAATCAACACCTCGATCTTGGACTTGAAAGATCGGATAAGGAGATGATAACCGCAGAACAAAACAAACAAACAAAGTAGGAGAGGAGTCACAAGCAAATCAGCTTTCTTTGGATCAGATAAACAGCTTGCCCAAACCACACCAGGGCAGCCAGCAAGCAAAGGGTAAAGGGGGAGATTTTCCATTTGTGGGTACAGTACTTTTAATCCCAAATAAATGCATCAGAAATTAAATCTTGCATAGAGGGAGGCTGCAACATGCAATTACTCATCTTTGAACACCAAAAAGGGGGCATTAATCATACCTTGGGTTGTGGTTTCAGAATCAGCATGGAAGTCCTGTGCCTTGGTCCTGATGTTGAACCACTTCCTCACGAGCGATTTGGACCATGAAAGCTACAATTATATATATCAAAAACAAAAGAAAAATAAGATGATATGAACAAAACGAACACACCAAGGTCAACCAAGATAAAAAGAAGAAGAAGAAGAAGAAAAGTCAAGAGCTGAACAAGAACAAGAAGCTCATCTATCTGAAGCAGTGATCTATCTGATCAAGAAACCCAGATGTTACCTTGCTCTTCTTGGCGCTCTCTTCTCTCATTGTCTCATAGCTCCTCCTCTGCAGCCAAACGAAAGGGATCTACCAGGCAAAACAGTACCAACCCGCGATCTTCGCGGCAAGAAACCTTCAAATCCGGAACCAAATCGCCTCAAAAAAAGTGGAAGGATTTTTTTGATCCGCTGACCACAAATCTTGGAACAAAAAGAACCAGCCAAATCAGTTGCCACCCAAGATTGGGTTTTCGACGGTGGGAGTCCAACCAAGGGATCTCTCTCTCTCTCTCTCTCTGCCGCCAATGCAGCCCACTGCCAACCTTAGGGAGCTCAGATTGGGCGATTGGCTCGCGTAGCAGCCTACTGCTACAAACAAGAGAAGCTATTCCTAGCTAGGACATCGTTGAGAAGAAGAAGAAGGAGGAGAAGGAGAGAGGCTTGTTGTTTGTGAGCTCAAGCTCCTTTTATCCCTCTCTTTTCTCCTCTTCTCTCTCTCACTATGGCTGCTTTGCTTTGATTCTCTCTCTCTCTTCTATCTCTCTCTATCTCTGCTTCTTTTTCTCGGCCTGGTCGCCACGAATCCAGCGAGGAGGAGAGGAGGAGGGAGCAGCACAAATGGCAGCGGAGTGGACAAAGCAGTTCTTGCCCGAGGAAAATGGAAATGAAAATGATGGGGGGGGGGGGGGGGGAATAAAAATTTGCAGTTGGGTTTTTGGCTTTTTGCAAATACTACTCTTGGAGGTATCTCAAGAGGATGCTTGGGAATTTGGGATGCAAGAATTTCTTATTATGTGCTCATTTCATCTGCAGCCCAATTTGTGCCATGAGCAGGAGGATTTTCTGTTTTTTAAAAATGTTGTGTGTTTTTTTAGAGGGTCATGGGTTAAGTAGGTGAGGTTAATTATAGGTTTTGGACATTTTACTTATGTAGGATTAAAAATGACAAATTATAAGTAGGAGTCTGATCCTTATCGAACCGGTAAGATGAAAATGTTGCGGTGGCGGATTTGTAGTATTTACACGGTTTGAATGACTTTATTTTTACTTTTGGTTGACACGCTTGTGGTATTTGTTTCTCATGGGCACCAAGTTGTCATTGTTATGCTCAGATTGAATATTTATTAGATAAATAGACATTATCATATTCCTTTGTGATTTACTTTTGGGGAAAAAGTCTATTTAATCTCTGAATGATTGGGGTTATCTACCCAACAGCTTATGGTATGAAAATGAGAACTTTATCTTTTAAGCATGAAAATATGTTTAAATCTCTCTCAGATAGTTTTGATTGTGGTTTTACCACCACAATATATATTTTACTAAATGAGAGGAAGAAATAAAAACTGTTTTTTTTTATTTTGCAAATATAACAGTTGGTATTAGTTTATCCATGAACATCTAATCGCTAAGGCTTTATTTGGAACATAGGGATTTTATATGAGTTTTACATGCACACTTCTATTTCCACTGTAAGAAGAATTTTCTGTGTTACGACTAATGTCCATATTTTCTTTGGATGGTAGTATGGACTAGATGCCATGGCCTAGGTTAGCAACCAAAGTTGATTATAGGTTTTGACATTTTACCAAATAGATTAAAAAACAAAAAAAAAGTCAGAAGCTTTGATCCTAATTTACCTAGTAAGAATGACCTTACTGTAACTTTTGGTTAACATATGCTTGGGATTTTTCTTTTTGTTATGGACTCCAACTTGCTAGGTTTATATGCCCCGTGCTGAAAATTAATTTATTACACTGGTAGAGATTGTCCTATTTCTTGATGGTTTACTAAGGAACTTAAAAATATTTAACAATGCGATAAAGGATGTTTATTCATTGTTGAGGATTGTGCTTAGATATGTCGCTGTTCATTAAATTCATCGATGCTATAGCACACAATATTTGAAGTCAATTCAAGCTACACTAAATCGGTTCTTAAGAAATTAATGTCATGTGTTGATCTCAATCCCATAGTTACCAACAGTATATTATGTCATTTCAAAGTAATTATAGATGGTATTTAAAAACACCTCTATTAAATTAAATAAGATATAAATCATCTTAATATCTAGCACTAATATATATAACATATCGCAAAATTTGTGAATAACATAACACTTCAATTACAATCTCATCCATAAACTCTAGAATATTAAACACCACATAAAAAAATGTTTATTGATAAATGTTTGTCCCACATCGAGGCCCTACATGTAAGCAATTATTTATGCCAATTAGTTTTAGAATACTCATACTCATCACGAATATCTAGTAATCGACCATACCAACGAGTCAATTTCTTGTCGACAAAGATGACAAGTGGCGTCTTTGCTTTCCTTCTCTATCAACCGATTATATATTGTTTTCAATGGTGTAATCAAGAGATCAATACATAATTTTAATGTCTCTACCACCCCCATCAACCTCTCTCATATTTCTTCAGTGGAAAACCCTCGGAAAAGAAACAAAAACCCTAAACCAAACCATGACCCGTGTGCAAAGGAAAACCCCCTCAAAACACCCTGGCCCACCTGGAAGTGGGACCCACGGTGCAGCTGCCTCCCACAGAGAAATGGGGTCCACATCCACGGGCCCACTCCCTGACAGCGGGCCAGCCTGCCTATCTAGATGGAGTCAGACCGGGCAGTGAGCTCAGCCACCCCTCAGTAACCACCAGGCACCAAACACACCCTCGCTGACAGGTGGGTCCACGGGAAGGTGGGCCCCACATGTCAGTGTGTGTGGCTGAGCTTACGCGTGTTGGTTTTAGCGTGGAGAACAGGGGCTCTGCTCGTAGTGGTCGCGGTAGTTAAAGCGAAATTAATCAAAGCTTTGATCTGCATGCATAAAGATTGGTGAGATCAGAGGGATCCAAAGCTTAAAAAAAAAGGAGAAAAGGATTAAATTAGTGTTGGATGCTTGAACGAATCTTGGTCGTGACAGAATCTGACCCGGTGACAAATTGAACCTTTTCAACGAAAGTACACAAACATGCGTATATACACGATTTGGTTAGAAATTTTGTTGCTCAATGCTGATGATGCACGCAACATATTTTTTTTAATTAATTTTGAAATTTATGCAACATAATTATTATAACAACGGTATGCTTTGCCAACAAAATCGTAAAAGGGGAAAAAAAAGGTTTTTGGTGCGTGTCTGCGTCCAAGTACATTGGATCACAAGCATAGTTATCACACTACTACTAGCTCCTAGTAGTGACGGCGAAAATGACGGCCGGCCAGTGAAATGCATATATATATATGCATATTATTCATGATTAATTGCCATTATCGTTCTTGTCAATTCAAGCTCGAAATACTGTACGAACAACAGGGTTAATGGATGGATGGCCTACATTGCACGGAGGATTATCTTGAGCAATGCGAACAAAATTAAAGAAGTAGATCTATTAATTAATCAAAAAAATTAATTAATTAGCGATCGACTTGATGGCAAGTCCACATAAGGGAGGTCGATCAAATCAAACGATTGGAGCCCATGGGATATCTGACCCCCTTAATTTAAAATTTTGTGACAAATTGTATTATTAGGTGTAGCATATTGTCCAAGTCAGTCAAGGCCTCATCTTTTCGCTTATTCTTATGATTTATCAGCTAAAATTTAAATTTTCAACCTAAAATTTGTAGTTGATTTTGGAGTTTTTTCATCGAAGTTTATTTTTCAGTCTTTGTTTTTAGATCGCTAAGAACACGTATATAAAAGTTTTATTCGCAAATTACTTTTCATTTGCAAATATACCGTTTGGCAAAACGATGGGATCCTGAGATGGTTCGTCTATAAAAATAAACGAAATACCGAAGATGTTTTTCTTCGTAAACATGAGGTAGTTATAACCCTATTATTAAAATTTTATAGACAAATATCACCAATACAAAACAAAGAGGCTTCAAAAATCTTAAATGTTGCAAGAGCTACAAGCAAATGAACATAGCCATAAATAATCCTTGGTTCTAGACTTGGTACGCACTACTATAGAAAAGATTTTTTTACAAGGACATCTTTAGATTGCAGATGAACTATAATTGGTCACGTCTGTAAAAACAATCTTTATTTTTGCATATGACTCCTTAAATGGCCCACACACAAAATTATATTTTTGCATTCTCCCCTCCTCTCTTTTTTCCATCTCACTCCATTTTTTTTCACCTCCTCCCTCTTCCTTTCCCTTTTATTTTCACTCCTCTCTCTCTTTCTTTCTCTCCTCCGAGCGCACGGCAGGGAGGCGGCTGGCTCGGCGTTGCCACCGACGAGGCAGCAGCTGTGAGCAAGCGGTGGCCGGGAGTGGGCAGGCAGCGGCGCGGCGACCAAGAGCGGGCGGGCGGGCGTTGACTCGACTCAACTTCGGGCGGCGGCCAGCGACCGGTGGCGCAACTTCAATTGGGTGGCGGCCTGGAGTGGGCGGTGGCGCAACTTCGGGCAGCAGCTGGGAGCGGGTGGCGGGCGACTCGGGAGCGGCACCATCCCCATCCTTGCCCGACGCCTCTGCCGACGACGAGGAGGAGGTGGCCGCTCCCCGTGCTGTCATCCCCACGACGGCTAGATCCGCCGCCGCGCGTGTGCGTGACAGATGGATCCGCGCTGCCACCTGCCCCACAACAACCCTATTTGCTGCCGTTGCCGCTGCGACAGCCCAATCCGCCACCGACGCCGATGCCGCTGCGAGCACGCGCCGGCCGGATCTGCACCGCCACCACCGGGATTCCTAGGGTTTTGATTTTTGTTTTTGAATTTCTATTTCTCAGTGCGGACAACATAAGCACCCGCACGTGAAAATCGGATTTTTCGCATGTGGGTGCGCTACGCGTACGTAAAAATCGAATTTTTGCAGACCATTTAAGGCAGATGGGCTAGGCTTCCACATGCGAAAATAGGTTTTGGCCGTCTGGAAAAACCTTTTCTATACTAGTGACGGTGGCTCGTATTTATGGCTAATTAATTATTTTTCAGTAGTAAACGGTGTACCCGTCGATAACAAGACGCATATGACAACTTCGTGATTCGTAAAATATGTTCTCCCGGTTTGCTGGGGTGCTCATATTGGTAAGGTAAACGTGTGTGTAATTTTTTTTTTTAAAAAAAAGTGAACATGAGCATAAATGATTATTTTTCTCGATGTATATATTCTACAATTGTAATGATTAATAAAAAACAAAGTTTCACATACACCATACATGCATACATGTAGAGATGGAATCATGTAATGGATGTGAACATATATATACATATAGACATGCATCGAAATCTGCACGTCGTATATCTCTCTACATGTCTAGCCTTTTCACGTTGTCGCCATACGCACGCACACCCTCAAACAAAAGGATACCAACACACACTAAGCTACACACGCAATTACACCCACAATTTTATATATGCACAAAATTGAAGGATGGACCGGCCAGGCCACATCGATCCATGCTACGTTATGTCGTTGTTGTTGCAAATTAAAGCTCTGTATGCATGCATATATATTGCATCCATGGATCATATGCATGCATGAGAAATCATACTCATAGTTGATACTATTACTCCTACATGATTATATGTATATATATGCATATAGATATGCACTCTAGCTTGCATGAGTTGTCGTTGCTACCTTTCCCATGATCGATCTCGATCGGTCGATCCTTAGTAAGAG